CCCCCCCCCCCCCCCCGAAACACAATCCTGGCTACGTGCCTGGTTCTTGTTTACGTTAGGAGATTGCGATTTAAGTAGGTACTGTTTCCTTTGTAAAACTTCGCTTGAAACACGATAGTTTCACTGGTTTTCTGTGAAACAAACCCAAAAACTGAAACAAAACTCGAAAAAAAATGGCAATGTCACCAAATCGGACAAATAAATTAAATTTTTAATTTAGGCAAAGCTGTAAAGCGCTTCGATAGGTCAAAGATCGGATGTTGGGTTACTCGACACCTTCACACTTGGGTTAGGTCACTCGATACCACCAAACTTAGGTTAGGTTATTCGACAACACCGCACTCAGGTTCCGTTAAATCGTTCAACTTGGGTCGGGTCGAAGATCGATACTTAGGTCAAAATCGATAAGTGGAAGATCGATACTTAGGTCAAAATCGACAGGTCGAAGATCGATGGTTAGATCAGTCAACACCACCACACCTAGGTTAGGGCACTCGACACCGTTGTAAATCGCTCGACTTAGGTAAGTTCACTCGGCACCACCCAAAGACATAAAGACGGAGCGCTAAAAGCAAAAAATAAAGCTTCTTTTCAATCACCTCTACTATTGGCTAGAGGATTGGCGGTGAAATCGGGACAAGTTTGAAATTCAAAGGTAGGGCGGGAACTAAATAAAATTGCGGAAACTAAGTATTTAAGGTTGATTTTTGCCCAAATTCACTTACACACTTATATTTCTATAACTTTAGGTTAGTTTTGGTCCGTTGTCGACCGATTAATTTCATTTGAGAGTAACGGTCATCTACAACTGTAACGGCCTGTTTGAACCGGCAGAACCACCATGAGCAGAAGAAAAACTAACTTTATCTGAGATTACTGCCTGTTACCGAGAAAAAGTAGGTGTATTATAATAGGACGCAGTCCCAACTTTCTTAATATATTCGTTTTAGGCATTTAAAATACGTTTCGAAGAAGAAATGTGGAAAAATCAAGAGGAGAAGTTCAAATCAAATTTCCGTTTGCCGCCATGGATTCCCGCGCTCATTTACACACTCACACAAGCACCCAGCGCCAAACCAGGCCTCACTTTTTCCCCGTGCTTTTAGATATGAGCACTCCATCTTTACGTCTTTGGCACCACCGCACTTGGGTTAAGTCACCCCATATACCAGATTTGAGTTAAGATAGGTTACACATTTTGATAGCTCAAAGATCAAAATCAATAAATCGAACATTCAAAAGCGATACATCGATTGCACTCAAACCGCCATTTCAAAAAATTTAATTTGGACTCTAATTATAATTTTTGGAACTTCTTGGCTTTGCTTTCCCCGCGAAATGGTGTGGACCCAGCACCATTGTTGCCGTGATAGCGAAGAGAGCCGTAAGTGCAAAATTTTCGAAATCGAGTTTTCTTCAAAATTCGTCTAAACTCTTTAAGATGAAATTACTGAGACAGCGAAAACAGCAAAATTCATCCCAATTTAATGAAAACGAGACATTGGAGAAAGCCGTAAGTGCACAAAAAATGACTATATAGTTTTTTTCAAGACAGCCGTAGGTGCATGAGAGCCAATGAAAACAGTGCTTTCCAGTAAAGTGCCGCCCTCTTCTGCCAATTTCTAACCTGAAAATGTGTTTGTTGTGCGTCCAAAACGCAACCACGAAAGCATGCAGAAGATAGCACTTACGGCTGTCTTGCCTAACAATAACCTAATACGAAACTGAATTTTACCTTTTTCGTGTACTTTAAAATAAAATCGGTCGAGTTTTAATCCCCCTAATGATTTCTAGGAGTCTTCCGGACGCATAGTGGCAATTTGACAAAGAACGGAGGCTTCTTTCAATAAAATGTTCCGGTCACAAGCTTCTGAGCCCGTTTTCTCAGAACTTCATTTTTGCAGTTACGGCTCTCTTCGCTATCACGGCAGATTTCTCCACCTTGTTACATACAGTTCAGGCCACTTCTTAGTGTTTTTTTTTTTTTTTTTTTTTTTTNTTTTTTTTTTTTTTTTTTTTTTTTTTTTTTTTTTTTTTTTTTCATTTGTACCTACGCACAGTTCGGGGATATGTGTTTCTCCCGTTCGTTATCAGGGTCAGGCTGGTTGAAGATGCGTTCGCATCTTCAACCAGCCTGATAATCATTTTTGCGGGTTTTCCTTGTTTTGTTATGAGAGTTGTTCAGCAGCGACGATAGATGGCGCGAGGATCACACTTTTATGTCATGCCTCGGGTCATATCCATGCCGGCGTTTCAATGCCGTCTTGGATTTTGCGGCATGTTAAGTTGGGGTCATTGCCGAATAAGATCTGCTAATGAAGTCTAAAAAGGCCCAAACCGGTATAGATCTCTCAGCGCGACTCCAACTTAATATTCCAATGCAAACTGCCTGAGCTGAACACTCTCCCCCCTTAGTTTCGTACTAGTACGCATTAGAAGTCAAAACATTTAATTTTGAATTACAATTTTTGGAACTTCTTGGCTTTGTTTTCCCCGCGAAATGGTGTGGACCCAGCACCATTACTCCACCTTGTCAATATATATGCCTACCTAATACATACAGGGTTATCCAAAAGTCACTGACCACCCCTGTAACTTTTTTCCAAATTGAGATAGAAGTTTGAAACTTTGGGAATGTTCCTCGGTCTAAAGTAGCAACTTTTTGGTCCCCCCAAAATTTTGGGGGGCGGCCCCCCTTAAGGGGGGCGGGGGCTAACTTTTTTTTTTCAAATGGCAACCCCCCCTTTGTGATACCTCATTCGAAAGATAATAAATAAAGAAAATTTTTGACGCAAACCGCAGGTCAAAATGTTCATTTTTGACAAAATGGCGGCCGGTCAAAGTTCAAAATGGCGGAAATTTGGCATCTCCGTTGTTTATTGACGGATTGGTGTGAAACTCGGAATTCTAGGGTTTTTCGGTTTCGCTAGAGCGGGAAGTGGATATTTAGGCTGCATAACGTTGGATTTGCATGAAACTTGGTATCCGGGGGTATTTCGGCACGAGAAGAACAAATCTTTCATTGGATATCTGAAATTTTGACAAATTCCAAAATGGCGGCGGAAAAATTGCGGGAAATCAGTTTTACGGCTGTTTACCGATGGATTTGCATGAAATTCGATATCCTGGCGGTTTTTGGCTGGATTTAAAGGAATCTTTCATTAGATTCTTGAAATATCAAATAATTTCATGCTAATCCATCGGTAAACAGCCGTAAAACTGATTTCCCGCAATTTTTCCGCCGCCATTTTGGAATTTGTCAAAATTTCAGATATCCAATGAAAGATTTGTTCTTCTCGTGCCGAAATACCCCCGGATACCAAGTTTCATGCACATCCAACGATATGCAGCCTAAATATCCACTTCCCGCTCTAGGCCGCCATTTTGACCGCCGCCATTTTGCAAAAGACTGACTTTTCTGGAAAACCAATGCCAGAATCGTTTTTCTCATCTCAAAAAACCCTAGAATTCCGAGTTTCACACCAATCCGTCAATAAACAACGGAGATGCCAAATTTCCGCCATTTTGAACTTTGACCGGCCGCCATTTTGTCAAAAATGAACATTTTGACCTGCGGTTTGCGTCAAAAATTTTCTTTATTTATTATCTTTCGAATGAGGTATCAAAAAGGGGGGGTTGCCATTTGAAAAAAAAAAGTTAGCCCCCGCCCCCCTTAAGGGGGGCCGCCCCCCAAAATTTTGGGGGGACCAAAAAGTTGCTACTTTAGACCGAGGAACATTCCCAAAGTTTCAAACTTCTATCTCAATTTGGAAAAAAGTTACAGGGGTGGTCAGTAACTTTTGGATAACCCTGTATAGTGCCGATATACAATTATAAAACGTAATACCTTGATATTTGTCATGTTCCTGTCGTGTTCTCTTGATGTAGGGGGACGAATTGTCGTGAATGACGAAGGGGCTGGACGTCCTCGAACGTATCCAGGCAAGTTAAACATTTTTTTCGGTCGGACTGTTCCAAACTCATGAAGGTAAGCGACATTACTCTGCTCATCTTCCAGCTCAGTTGAAAAGGTTTTTTCGATAAGCTTCACGTAATTTTTCATGAATTTTTCTAAATTACTCTCAACTATAAGTTTTTTAATTGATAAAGCTTTTTCAAAATTCTTTTCAAGAGCATTCCGTTGAATTGATCGTATTCCGAGAACTTTTCGCCTCGTATCAGGCAACATTCGGCTTCAGGCACTGCACAACAAGCGCACCAAACTTATGTGAGCTAGGTGCCTACACGAGAGAAGTCCTACACAACCATTGAGCACTGCTCTATTATCTCGATTACCTAACCTAGTGAGCAAACCAAAAGAAAAGGTAATTGAGTAACAATACGAAAATAAAGGTGGCTGGGGGTTGATATACCTACCTAGGAATGTGAAAAAATTATACTTCTTTTTCTTGTCAAATTGAAGGTCAAAATCTTTTGAGCTCTCCAAGTTTGAAACTAATAAGCAGCAATCAAAAAGTCAGAAAAACCTTACGTAAAAGAAATATGTGAAGAAAAAAGGAAAAATTGCAAAGCAATATTAAATACCAGCCTGAGTGATAGCTCGCATAGCGAGCTGTCATTCCTAGCCAGGGAGTGCTCCTGGAACTCCGGTTCCTCGTTTCACGATGAACTTGCGACTCGCTCCGCGAACCGTCCCTCTGAGCTACTAACTTTTAAAATATAGTAAAAATAATGAGAAGATAATATCTTCGCCACGTTTGTCGTTTGTCTCCTACCCAGATACCCCCAAACACCGAGTTTCAGGCGAATCCATCGGCAAAAAGTTGAGGTTGCCAATTGTTGACCATTTTGAACTTTAATCGGCGGGCATTTTGAAAAATTAGGGTTTCTTTAAAAATCTAACGTCGAATTTGTTCTTCTCGGGTCAAAATATCCCCAGATGCCGAATTTCAGGTGAATCCATTGGCAGAAAATCGAGTTTGTCAAATTTTCGGCCACTTTTAGGCTAAACCGCGGCGGCCATTTTGAAAAATTAGGGTTTTTTTAAAAAATCTAACGTCAAATTCGTTTTTCTCGTGCCAAAATACCCCCAGTTTCAGAGTTTCAAGCAAATCCATGAGCAAATAGCAGAGGTGCCAATTTTCGGCCATTTTGAACTTCGACTGGCCGCCATTTTGAAACGGTTTGAGATAATGACTTCGGAATTGCGCGAAAAATTTTCTTTTTTTATGCTCTTTCGAACGAGGCATCACAAAGGGGGTCTTCCTGTTTGTAAAAAAAAGTTAGGGTCCGTAACCCCCCCCCCCCAAGGAGGGGCCCCCCAAAATTTTGGGGAGGGGATCAAAAAGTAGCCCCTTTGATCTAGGAACACCCTCCAAGTTTCAAATCTCTACCTCAATTAGGTCAAAAGTTAGAGGGGGGGGGGAGGGGACTTTTCGAACACCCTGTATGAGCTATGTCCGCATATATCTGAAAATCCTTTAAAACTTTCCTAATACCACATTGAATCCTAAATACTGAGCTGCACAGTGGAATTACCTCGGCTTCAGCACTCGATAATGCAACACAGTTTTGCTTCTTTGTAACCCAGGAGACTACATTGCCAAAAATCCCGTTACTAATTTCTTGTCAGTGTCGCCACCCCAGTCAGAATCTACAAAACACTGTAAATTATATTTTGTCTTGATTTCCTTTATACCCGAAACGCAAATCAGCAGTATTTTTTAAGTGCCTTCAAATACGCTTGACATTAAATCTCCTCTGTTGCATTCTGCTGGAGACGACACAAAAAATTCACTGCATAGCTCCCCTTCTGCAAATTTTGCATACGCAAAAATGTAACTTACTATGTCCTAGAAACATTCTAAAATTTTCATTTTTCAAAAAATTTAATTATTTTATTCCAATAAGTTTCAATAAATAGGGCTCCCTTAAATAGGAGCTAGGCAAAATACACAGCACTCAGTGGAATTGCAAAAATTTACTATATAATTGCTACTTATTGCAATCTGCGCTACTTGGGAAGGACGTTGGAGGGCGCGAAGGATCCTCAGGGGGTTGGGCTGCATAGCGGTCAGAGGGGGTACCCTCTGGTTGTAGATGAATGAGTATTCGCAGCAGGTTTCCTTCATAATTTCATGCAATGTTGCGGCAAGCAGGTCTTTCTTCCTGCAAGCTTATGAATGGTAAATAGTTTTCGCCTGCTTACGTACTGAAGTTAAAAAAGAATCTTAAATACCTCTGGGGTCCCAGAAATTTCGAATCAGTATGGTGTGGAAATGACTTCCATTTATATCTTGATGAAGTGTTTCGTACAATGGATACATCTTTTCACCCAACTTATATTATAAGAAAAAAGTAATGATTTACTCAGTGCCTGAGAATTACATTTAATAAATTGTGGATACCATTACGTTGGTTACACGACCACATTGATAGCACAGAATGTAAAAGTAGATTTGATGCTGCCATGACAACCAGATTATTTACTAAGATACCCTCCTGAGTTAAGGGGAAGAACCTGCTGTCCATCGGACGGAAAAACTAAACTAGGTACTTACAGTTGAATTTACTGCATTACGAAAAATTTACCATGTGGGTATACCCACTCCTTGAAAGAGAATTCTAGTTGAGCCATTACTGGAAACCTCATTAAAGCATGTAACAAGACGTCTCTTTGAAATAATGTAACGGACAAACCGTTTGGATTTTACGTCATTTTACGACAAGTCACTCAGGCTCCATATTATTGATAGGGCGTTCATATTTTCTTTACGATCGGAAAGAAATATCTCAGAAAAAAACGGCACCGTTCTATTGGAGGAGGCAGCGATGCGTTATACAGCCTGATAGTCCAATGGCGCTTAGCCATTCATTCAACGCAAATTTTATCCTAATTTACTTACTACAAAATTCTTCTCCAAAAATGGAGCCGGAAAATGTTACTGAATTATTATTTCATGGATTTTTTCCCTCATGAAAGGTATCATCGAGCCGCCCTTTGGCGGTCGGTGGGCACTTTCAGGAGATAGGTCTAGGAAAAAACACCATAATCTCACATTCCACAAATCTGAAGAGAGTGCCCATCTAATTTTCATGTAGTTTGATGGGTTTGATTTTTTTTTTTTTTTTTTTTTTTATCGCAATCATAACTCCGGTTCTTTTCCCTCATGAAAGGTATAATCGAGCCGCCCTTTGGAGGTCGGTGGGCCCTTTTTGGAGATAGATACGGGGAAAAGGACCATACAGGGTGATCCAAAAGTCCCTTCCACCCCCTCTAACTTTTTACCTAATTGAGGTAAAGATTTGAAACTTGGGGGATGTTCCTAGGTCAAAAGGAGCTACTTTTTGGCCCCCCTAAAATTTTCAGGGGGGCCTCCCTTGGGGGGGGGGCAACGGACTCCAACTTTTAATTTTCAAATAGAAAGACCCCCTTTGTGATAGCTCGTTGGAAAGAGCATAAAAAAAAGAAAACTTTTCGCGCAAACCCGAAGTCAATGTCTCAAACCGTTTCAAAATGGCGGCCGGTTAAAGTTTAAAATGACCGAAAATTAATACCGGTTATATGTCGATGGATTTGCGCGAAAATCGGTATCAAAAGGTATTTTGACACGAGAAAAACGAATTTGAAGTTAGATTTTCAAAAAAACCGAAATATCCAAAATGGCCGCCGGTTAAAGTTCAAAATGACTAAAAATTTTCACCTTGGTTTTTTCCTGATGGATTTGCCTAAAACTTGGAATTTGAGAGTATTTTGATATAAGATAAACAAATTTGAACTTAGAATTTAAAAAAATCAATTTTTGGTCATTTTGAACTTTAACCGGCCGCCATTTTGAAAATTTCGGTTTTTTTGAAAATCTAACGTCAAATTCGTTTTTCTCGTGTCAAAATACCCCTACATTGCGATTTTCGCGCAAATCCATCGACAAATAACCGGTGTGAAATTTCGGCCATTTTGAACTTTAACCGGCCGCCACTTTGAAACGGTTTGAGATATTGACTTCGGGTTTGCGCGAAAAGTTTTCTTTTTTTATGCTCTTTCGAACGAGCTATCACAAAGGGGGTCTTCCTATTTGAAAATTGCAAGTTGGGGGCCGTTGCCCCCCCCAAGGGGGGCCCCCCTGGAAATTTTAGGGGGGCCGAAAAGTAGCTCCCTTTGACCTAGAAATATCCCCCAAGCTTCAAATCTTTATCTCAATTAGGTAAAAAGTTAGAGGGGTGGAGAGGACTTTTGGATCACCCTGTATATGTCTCGTTCCACACATCTTGAGAGTGTTTCTAGCAAGTTTTTAAGAAGTTTGATGTGTTGACTTCTTTTTGAATTCATTATAATCAGCGGGGTCTGTCTCCCCATTATACATATCGTCACCTTCCAGGCAAAGTATCACAAGCGCCATGCAACGTTTAAAAATTTCCGCCGCCATTATATTTTTTTACTGAGAAATTGTTGGTTGAATCTGTTTGGAAATTTCACTAAATTTTATCGGCAGCACAAAGAAAATTCAGTGAAATTTTCGGACAGCTTTGTTGAACAATTTCTCTGTAAAAAAATATAATGGCGGCGGAAATTTTTAAACGTCGCATGGCGCTTGTGATACTTTGCCTGGAAAGTGACGATATAAAGAGTGCCTGTCTTCAGGGGGCCCCCGGTCTGTTTGGAGATAGTAAAAGGTTAAATGTATAATTACCTAGGTTGTCCCAAAAGTACTGCACGTTTTCTTTTTTTGGACGAACGGTAGCAGATATCAAAATGCGGTTTGTGTAGTCTTAAAGACGGAGCAACTACCGATAAAACAAGACAAATCCGAGCTCTCTAAGTAAAAAAATGACCAAGTTACAGTGTTTTGAAAATGACTTGTAGAAGGGACCCCTACAGGATTTTCAGCTTCTTTTCTGGAAAAAAAACAAAGAATTAAAGATTCAAGTGGTTTTATTAAATCAATTTTGCAGAATCTTACCAAGATTACTAGCATTTACTCTTCTTCACTGGACCACTGGACACTAGTTTCCTTCTCAAAATACCTTCTATCACTTGCCACACAGCGCCGCAACCGTTCTTCCCACTTCTTCAAACATGTTTTTTCGAATTCCTCTTGCCTGATGCACTTTAAGAAAGTTTCAACAGCTCTTTTTATCTCGTTGATGGAGTTAAACTTCCTGCCCCTTAAGCCCTTTTTCAACGTAGGGAATAACCAAAAATCGGAGGGTGCAAGGTCCGGGCTGATACCATGTTGCCAACTTCATTCGATCGCGACAATTTCTCTGTAGAGTTTTTGGTTAATCAAAACTTTGTTTTTTCCAGAAAAGAAGCTAAAAATCCTTAAG